ATGAACGTCGAAAGTGATGCATCAACATTACCTATAGGTTAGCAATTCATTTTTTCAGTTGAGATACTGATGATTATATATAAGATAAGTCTATCAGTTGCAGTAGTCAGTGTGATACAAAGCATCAGATTTTTCTATTTCGTTATGAGACTGTTCTTCATGTTTTGAAACATGCGCAATGAAAATTCTTAATTCAGAATGTGATGAACTAGGCGATAGCAAGACACAATATACTTGTTCAAAGATTTGTAAAATTTCAGGATCTCAAATGAGAAAAATGGTTAATCGGACTTTAGCAACTCGTTGGTATGATAATAATTAAATTCAGTAAAACATGATATTGTTTTTGACTGTGGGTCTTTCGAGATAGTTAAGCCTTTCCTTCATCCTTCAAAATGTTGAAATTCGTCCGAAATACAAAGCTGAAAATAAATCCATAATCGAATGCTGCGACGTGTGTACGTTAAGAAGTATTGTAATTGTGAAGTTTCTTTTCTCTAAAGAACTGGATTTCTCTCCAGAGAAGTTGGTTCTAAAGAAAAAAAAACATTTTTTTGTTTTTGGAAAGAGTAACTTTTGTCTAGAAACAATTGTCTTTCGCCAACAGAATCAATTTTTCAGGCAGAAGATAGTCAGATATCCCTCAATATTTGATATCCAGATTCGATGAATACTAATAGATGAGTCATACTTAGCAAACATCTTGAAATATTTTCATCTTTCAAAAGTCTTTCATCAGAGTTAGTATCACAATTGTGAAAAAGTTTAGTTTACAAACAGTGCCTGCAAAATCAAATAGTCTATGTGACGGAGATTATTTCTAATGGATAAGAACTAAAAAGAATGACAAAAGTCACAGCAATTTCTCAAAATAATTCCAAAGTTACCATGAGTATGGATGTGCGATGTGGATAAAAATAAAAGCCTACATCTGCATCTACACTGGCATTTGTGTTTAACCTCTAACTTCATTCTTAGATAGTTAATTGACTTCGTAATGATGCTTGCAATTATTTTTTGCCAAGCTGTATTTCTGGTATTAATTCTCGGGAAAATTATTTTCTCTCAATCAGACTTATAAAAATTCTAGGATTTCTGAGCAGCGCTGTAATTCAAAATTGCTTTTGTTAAATGTTAAGATGTTTGTGTTCTTCTAATAATAAAAACCAAACAATTCAAAGTCTGACGCATGATAGATAGAGGCACTTAGTATATATATGTATATGTTGTTAATATTATCCTTTTCGATTATTAGAACGTGTAAAAAGAATAATATTGATTACATGAGTGAAAATTTAGCGAATATCTTTTATTCATGAAGTTAAAACCTAATGACAAGGACAGAAGAAAATAAATGGGAATTTATCTATTATTCTATCTCACATTCAACATTATTTAATCAACTTTTATGTGCACTGTTAACTAATATATTTTATGGCCGTGTTTATATCAGTTTACATTTTATTATTGTAGAAGGTATTTCAAGAATTTGTTTTACGTTTTCTACAAGCATGAGCTTGAAGATCCACCTCCAATGGCATTCTATTACATTAGGAGATGAAGTCAACTATGTTTTTTGTTTGAAAGTTGACATTTAGAGCTAGCGACTCTTACGGCCTTTTTTTTCAAAAAAAAAAGATTTTTGATAAAGGAAAAACCGCTCATTTATTTTCAAAAAATTTCCGAGTTTTATCTAAAGTGTTTTGATTTCACGTACAGTCAGCCCAAAAAAGTATTCGAAGACTCAAGACTATTCGCATCTTTCCTCAAAAGCGATTTTGATCCATATACATGTGAATCGAATGAAATTTTCAGAATATGTTATAACTGTAATGAAGAAGTGATGGAAAAATTTTCAGGCCAATAGTGCTACATTTGAAGGAAATATTTACCAAACAAGGATCAACAATAGCTCATTTGGTAACCCAAAATTCTTTGTGGGTCTTTATTTTTTATATTTTAATTGTTTTTGTTTGAAAGAGTATGTTAGAATTCAAAGCAAGACACAACCTTTTTTTAAAATTCTTTACTTTTTAAACGGAGAAAAGGGATGATAACTTCAATAGCTCAAAAAGCTACAAAAAAACCAGGAAAAATCTACCATTTTCTCAAAATTTTTTTCGAGTTATTGAAGTTGTCATTCCTTTTTTCTTTTTTTAAAAAGTAAGAATAAAAAAACATTGTGTCTTGCTTTGGATTCTGACATTCTCCTTCAAACAAAAACAATTAAAATATAAAAAATAAAGACCGACAGAGAATTTTGGGTTACCAAATGAGCTATTGTTGATTCTTGTTTGGTAAATATGTCCCTCAAACGTAGCAGTATTGACCTGAAAATTTTACCGTTATTTCTCTATTACAGTCCCAACCCATGTTGAAAATTTCATTCGATTTGCATCTACATGAACCAAAATCACTTTTCAGAAAAGATGCGCATAATCTCGAGTGTTCGAACACTTTTTGGACTGATTGTATAACTGAAGACTAAAGTAGGAAGAAATATCGGAAAAAAAACTACGAAAGTTACTAATCCCAAATATCTGCTGTAAAATAATAGAAACAATAAACCTTTTAGCCGTAGTGATTGAATGCCGCTGGAAACCCGGAAGATTCCAAAAGGGGTGCTATGTATAGTCCGACATTGTTGTAACTATAACAAATAATGAGATACGAAGCTGAAATTCTTTTTGTATACGTGTTGGATGCCTTCATTATGTGTACGAAATTGCAGCCCAATAGTATGTTATAGCATGAAGATCATCCCAATATGATGGGGAAGATAGGACTTCAAACGAAAATAGTAAAGAAGGAACGCGCCAATCTTCTCTAGTAGTTGATATCAGGCATTATAGTCCTGAAGATAGCCGATAATATGTAATGATTTACGTGGATAGTTAAATGATTAATTGGCAATGGTCTTTCGAAGAATTTTGAGAAACTATATATAGATCTCATAGTAATGGCTACAGGCATTCCTATTGTTTAAGTTTTATACTATGGCTAGTTGACTGATATAAATATTTTAACCCTTTAAGGACTAGGTCTGTATGTATACGGTTTGAAAATTTTTGTAGAAACGAAAGTCTTGGAACTAGTTGAAGTACATTCTTCGAGGCTTTCGTTTTTTTTTCCTTATCTTGCAATCCTCTCTTTGTATCTTTAAAATAAGAAGTATGACCAGTATGGTAACTAATACTTTCTAAATGATAATTAATTCTTACACCTCAGCTGTATTTCTTTAAAAAAAAAAGATTCGGTTCTCAAATGGTTAATAAAGGATCTGTTTGATATCGAAAGTGAAGGTCTTGTTGTCATTCTATCATGGGTATCATGATGAGAAAAATATTCTCATGTCCGAATCTATGAATTCTTGTTTACCATTAGAGAGGTATAGATGTTGATGTATGCTCTTATTTTTTATCACTAATTTTCTTTTTGTTGAACAGGTCGTTTAAAACATTGGTTGATGCACAATTGGTTTTGGTGGTATAATGGCGAAAAAAGAACTAAAACGGATTAAAAGAAAACAATTGTTTTTTTGTAAACAAAATTGTGTGAATAAAATGTCCAGATATGTCGCCTTGCTTTTTCTTCTTGGAGTTTTCTTTTTAATAGACACCCATAGTTTGGGCACTTATCTGGAAAGATTTCAAAGTAGTACAACTTTTTCGAACTCATTGAACTACAAGCATATGTAGCATTGATAATTAAGACGAATCTTCAAACGATATGAGTGGTCTTTTAGATCTAACCGAGATATTGAATTTTCAAGCTATTAGCATTTTAACCATACTTCCAAAAAAATGATAGCAAAGTGTGAAAGATTAAGGAATTCTACTTAGATTTTAACCTTTTGAGTCCTGAAATTTTTCTACCGAACCTAATTTGATGAAACCACCAGGAATGATAGGGCTAGGTGTGCTGATGAAGTTCCACTATAGGACAGATTTTGGTAATCCCGTGTTTTTATCTGAGGGAGGGTGCAAAGTTCGGGAAAATTCTAGAGTAGGCTCCGAAGATGGCTTTGCCATTTGGCTCAGGAACAAGCTACAGACTTGGGAGTTTCAGCATTAGATAGAGGACAGTTACTCGATTCTAGAACACTAATAATAGTTAAAATTCTATTTGGGTTTCATAGAGATTCCAGCCCAAAAAATGTCAGAAATTAGCATTTTCTGTAGGTTTTTTTCACAAAAACAGAGCACGGGAAAAAAATATCCACTACAAAAAATGATCGCCTAAACGAGTGGCATCTATGGTAAAAGTTTCCGACTTCTCGCATTCGTAATAGAGGAGCTAGATAAGATCCACCTTGTCTTCCCCATTTGAACCTCTTCACAAGGTTTCCAATTTTTTCGAACCTACAGCTATACTTACAGCTACGAGTCCTACAAGCCCTAAAAGTTTCATTCCATTCCGATGGATTCGATGTAAACTCTCGTACACTCTTGATAGAAGCATCCCTACCCATGGGGTCAAAACTTCGCAAGGTGCATTGTGCAATATCATCCATACACTCTATTATCCAATCAATCTTACATGGACCTCTGCTAGCTTCTAACACTTATTGAATATATTTCTCCAAGATTCTCAAAAACTCGAAGATTTCAAAATTCTCAAGGTGGGAAATATATATCCCATTGGACCTCAAAAGGTTAAAAGACATTGCTGATATGGTAAGTACGGTAAGCCAAAGATAGTTGAAGAACTGACTTATCAGCATTACGCAATAGTTCAATAAACCAAAAAATAAATCACGTGAAAGAATAAATAGATTATCAAATAATTTTTTTTAGATGCAAGTAAACTATCCGTAAAAAGTATCAAAGACTTATTGAATATTTTATTTATATTTTAATCGAAGGAGAATACAGATTATTTTTTATTTTTTGTTTTATATGTTTCGTAAAATGAAGCTTTTAAGGCCTCTTTCCTCAGGAATCAATTTCAGGCCAGGAACGTTCGAATAGCATGAAATTTTCACGATATGTTGGGGCTGTAGTGGGAAGGCTGTGGTAAAATTTTCAGCCCGGTATCATGACGATTGAGGGAGATATTGGCCAAACAAGGGTAAAAAAATAGCTTATTTCGTTTCCAACAATTCTCAATGATCTTCAGTCTATACATTTAGTATTTTGTTTTTGTTCGAAAGAGTATGTCAGAATGCAGTGCCTATGAGAGCTCTTTTTAAAATCCTACTTTTTAAGGGAAAAAAGGGATCGAAAGTTCAATGGCCCAAAAAACCTCTCTAAAAATAGCGCTCTATTTATATAAATGTTTGTATACATAATAAAAGCGAAGCTTAATAAAAAAACCGGCTCTCATTAGCACTGCAATTTTACACGCTCTTTCAAACAATAAAATCTATTGGCGACAACGAAATTCCTTCGAGAAATCTGGAAGACGCAATCGAAAACCTATAAAACGAGAAAAAAAACAGCTTATTTTTCGAATAGAAGATGACCAAAGTCTTCAAAAATTTTTGGAAAAAACGAGATACCGGGTAAAAATTTTTGTCATCTATGAGAGATCAGATCGCGGGCTATCTTCATCTATATAACTAAGTAACAGAAATAAAGCATACACATACACATATTTACAACATTTCATAATGCTTCGAATCAAACAAGATTCACAAACGTCAGTTCTTACACAAGAACAAATTTTTGTACCCTTAAAACGAGTAAATGTAGAAGCAACAATTCGTTCATTTGCTGCCGATGTAACTATAACACAAGTATTTTGTAATGATGAAAAACAACCAATTGAAGCTGTCTATTGTTTTCCAATTGAAGAACAAGCAGCTATTTATTCTTTTACAGCTTGTATTGACGATCGTGAAATAGTTGCTCAATTGAAAGAAAAAAAAAGAAACACAACGAGAATATAATAATGCTTTACAACAAGGACATGGAGCTTATTTATTAGAACAAGATGAAAATTCTCAAGATAGTTTTATTATTAATGTTGGTGCTTTACCTTCATCAAAAGAATGTACTATTACTCTATTGCTTATGTTACTGAATTAGATTTTGTACAAGGATCAATAATTCGATTTGTAGTTCCAACAACTATTGCACCTCGTTACAATCCTGATAAAGGTAGTATTGCATCACCTTCAGGTACTAGTTCAAAATATGTTCAATCAACTCTTATACAATCGATTTTCGTTATCGTATCGATAAGATGGGTAGATCTCAAGAAGAATATATTGCTCGTATTAATTCACCATCTCATCCAATTCAAATTGATTTTGCACAACAAGATGCTTATGTAATTACATTTGCTCAACAAAATACTCATTTAGATCGAGATATTCTAATTAATATTGAATTAACTGATAAACGAATTTATACAATTGTTGCTGTTGAATCGACTGCTGTTATGGCTGCATTTATTCCAACTGAAAAAGATTGTCGTCAAGGATTATATAATGATCAAATAAATGAATTTATCTTTATTGTTGATTGTAGTGGATCAATGCAAGATGAAAATAAAATTGGATTAGCTCGTCAAGCTATGTTAGTTTTTCTTAAAAGTTTACCTGTTGATTGTCATTTTAATATTATTCGTTTTGGAACACAATATAAAAGTCTTTTTACAGAAATAACTGCTATTTATAATGAAGAAAATGCACAAAAAGCTGAACAACTCATTAATGGAATGAAAGCAGATTTAGGTGGTACTGAACTAGTGAGTATTTTTATCTTGTATAATTTTTTTATTTATTAATTTATTTTTGAATATTTATAGATGGGTCCTCTTCAATGGATTGAACAACATTCACCAAATCAAGGTCGTGCTCGTCAAATATTTCTTCTGACTGATGGTGAAATATCAAATATCACAGAAGTCCTCGATTTGTGTCGTTCAATGGCTTTATCTACTCGAATATATTCTTTTGGTTTGGGAAAATCACCTAGTCGATCTTTAGTTAAAGGTCTTGCTCGATCAACTAATGGTCGATTTGTTTTCGTTCCACCAAATTCAAGTGTTGATGTATATGTTGGAGAACAATTACAGAAAGCTCTTCAACCATGTGTTACTAATATTCGTGTTAATTGGAATCTTGGTGTTACTGTTCAAACTGCTCCAAAACAATCACCTCCAGTTTATTTCAATGATCGTCTTATTGTTTATGCTCTTACAAATGATAAAATAATTCCATTTAATCACAATTCTTCTGTAGAATTTCAAATTGAACCCGATCATCGTTCAATAGGTATGGCAAAAGTCAATCAAATACCAAGCATAGCTAATAATGAAACAATTGCACGTTTAGCAGCTAAAGCACTTATTCTGGAATTACAACATGCTAAACTTCCATCATCAACTGCCAAAAAACCGAAAACAGGTTCGACACAAGCACGGTTTCAAAATCTGGTAGCATCAGACGAAGAAAAAATGGAAGTGGTTCCCGATGAACAGACAACCAAACAATGTATCATTGAATTATCATTGAAATACAATATCTTAAGTCCACATACAGCGTTTATTGGTATAGAAAAGCGAACAAATGCAAGCAATGCTGACATTATGCTACGTGAAGTACCAATGGAAATTTCTGCTGATGATCAGCATTTATTTACACCATCAAGATTGCACTTCTTGTGTGGTGGTGGTGCAATTCGTCATAGTGCAAGCTATGGATTTAGTGCTGGTGGCAGTTTTCGGGGCAGAGGAGCTACAACAACTGCACGCAGCCCCCAAAGAAAGTCGAATATGAAAATGCCGGGTGCAGCCATTTCTAAACTTTCTGCAGGAATGGGATGGTCTTCTCATTCATTCACTGAACAAATTGTGTGTAAGTGTTCAATATCAGAAAGGCGACCTATCCAAATAGATGCCGAAGATTTTGTACGCGGGTCGAGACTAATCTATCAAAACAAAGAAGTATGGCCTTCAACTGATCAAGATATTGTTCGTTATTTGATCAACAAACAAAAGTTTAATGGTCTATGGAATTTAGATGATGATATTATCAAGAAATTAACAGGAAAGTCTCTTTCAGTTTTTCGATCAGCAAATCCAAACATCGACAATCAAATATTAATTTCGATCATTGTTATCATTATACTTGAGACAAGATTTGCTGACTTTTCGTCATTATGGCATGGTGTAGTTCAAAAAGCTCGTAAACGACTCATTGATTTGGTGGGAAAATATTCAAAAGATTTTGATACATTACTTGATGATATTCGTAAACAACTTTGAATAATCTTTAATTGCTTAGAATATCTTTATATTTATTTTACAAAATAAAGAATTTTATGTTTTACTTATCTTCTAAATAATTTATACATTCGTGTTATCAATTTTTTTACTTCTCTTTTTTTTGTTTCTATCATCAGAAGGATTTCAATATTAATCAAAGCGTCGTCTATTGTTTAAAATTATATTTTAATTTTTTGAAGAAACTAAAATATTTAATTTTTAAGAAAGTGATGTTTTACATCAAGGATGCATTCACAAGAATAAGAAAAAGAACGAACAAAAAATTTTAATTATATATTTATTCAGTAAATTAAGCTATTTGTTCAATAAACCAGTCATAAAATATGCCTAATTGATACTCTGATTCGAGGATGTGGGTATCGGTATGGGTGTGGATTCGGGTGTGTATATGTGTGAAAAGATGGCCCATACTCACCCACACCCTCCATTATACATCAAGGGTAGGTGTGGGTGTGTCAGTATTGGTGTAGATTTGGGTGCGGCTATTCAGTTCTCTCATCCCACGCACTCACACCCTACTAGAACAACATCAATATTCGTGCCGTAACATGATCATGTTTTAGGATGTAAACAACATTAAAATTCAACGTTTACGATCATATTGTTATTGTTAATGATCGTATACGACTGCATCAATGCACAAAGAAAAGATTAATAAACACGATCGTGGTTGCACTTGTCTTATTCAAAATCTCTTTTCACAGCTCTATCATAGAATGATTTGTTTAAATTCTTTAGTTTTATTGGATTTTTTCATACAACTTGAAACGCATAAAAAAAATTGAAACAAAAAAATCTACAGAAATTCTTGAGAAATCATCAAAACTAAGGAAAGCATAAAAAACCTTGCTTTAGATTTTTAGAAGAACTGTAAAAACCGTCGCAAAGATCCAAGTATTCTACTCCTAATGAAAAATAATCTTGATTTTCGCTGTAGAATTTTCACTTGGACAGCTTGTTTGAGTTATAATCAAAAAAATATTTGCTCTACTCAAGTAGAACAGCTTGCTGTCATAAACAAACGTTTACGAGCTAAATAGGATGGAAAACAACAACATTTTGTCGAACAGTTTACAGCCAACGTATCCGATTTCTTACGATGCTATCTAACTGATGTTAATGACGACCTTAAACGATGATCGTAATTTATCGTAACTTTTCATATATGACAATAGTACACAGTTTCAATAACAGCTGGCGTTACCGTAACAATTAGAAAGACTTGATCATAATGACTAAACTACTAGTCTGTTGCTTTGTTTTACTCTAATTTATTTAGCAGAACATTAATCTCATGTAAAAAACAGATTTTAATCAATTCTCGAAGTGTAGCATATATGTCAAAGATGGGCCCGATGTTACACTCACTCTTTGTTGCGTCAACAAGTATGAAAAGAAGCATCTTCGCTTCAATAATAGTGCTGGCATCCTAATGCAGTACTGCCTGTGTAAAGCAACATGCGATGCGAAAATCTTTGCACAACTGCCAACGAAAAGCAAGATTTTATCTTACAAGAAAATGACTGATCTCAATCAAAATAGAAACTATTGTACAATTACATTTTAATGGAGCTTCTCGTTTTTGTGCTGCCTGTTGTTTTTATAAATCGAGTATGAGATCAACATGATTTGTACATTCTATGAAATTACGATATCGATCCATTGCTGCATTATGAGAATTTGATGTAAAATGTAAAACGAGTTTCTTTTTTTTTTAATCTTTTTCTCTGCTTTTCATTTTATTCCATTTGTTGATACCATCTATCCATGTTAATTCAGCTTGTTCACAGCCTATTCTACTTCCAAACAAATCAACATATAATACAATAAGGTTTTATCCTTAATAATGCTATATCCCAAATAAGAAAATTCGGTATACCTTGATGCGACAAGCTTATATGTTTGTTTAGTTTTTTTTTTTGAATTCTTGATTTTAACAGAAAAATCAATAGCAAGTTGAAATGATTCTTTAGATATTAAATAACGAAGTTACTTAGCTGAAAACTTGTGCACACTACGATCAACGAGTGGTTTTTCACCGTTATCAACGATAACATCTGTATAAAATAAAATAGGACATAAGAAAATAGTTAAAGATTTCAAAATCTTAAACTATATATGAGATCTTATCTTATCTCTATTATTTTTTATATCATCGATTTTAACTAAACATTTATCACGTAAACCATTCAACAATGATATTAATCGATTACTAAATTCTAATTTATCATACAAGATTTACTCTTCAACACTATCAATTGCTGTCGTTTTACCGATCAATTCAATACACGTTTCACTCATTTGCTTTACTCAGTGCAAGTCAACAACTATATCTAGTGCAATATTTGTTTCATTTGAACGTGATTCTAAAGAAAAATAAAGCTATAGTCTCTGTTATTAATGATGTTTTCTAAGCAGCTTATAATATTATGTCTACCATCATAAACACTTGATTTGATTGTGTTCTTTGTTTGTGAATCTGTTGTTGAGTAATTAGATCTGTATTATTAATTGTTGGAATCGTCAATGAGTCTTCTTCAGAAGTCTTTCTCTTTTTATCAAAAAAAAAACAGAATCGATTGTTTTGTATCTCTTTTCTAGCAATGACGACATTTATTCGAACTCAAACCAGAAATATAAATAAAACTAAAAGCAAATGAAACAAAACTTTCCATTCAACTTCAGCATTTGAGAATAGAAAACTTCATCTTAGAATAAGAATCCTTCAATAATCTTCATTTTGTTGACTAGATCTTATCAAATAATGACAAATTAATTAGGTATGCTTGTTTCGTTTTAAAATCATCCTATTTATTGAGTTTCTTAGAACATTGACACGCTTATACATGTTAAAATATTTGTTGCTAATATCTCGATATTTAATATATTCAAATAGTTTTGCAATCTAAGCAAGCATATCAAAATCAAACAAGCATTGTTGAATGGTACTAAAAACCAAATGAAAAGTCATAATTTTCTTTTCTTCGCCATAACATATCCGACGATATCTTGGTAGAAAGAACTATATAACTTTTTCTCTAATGAAATGTCAATCTTCACTCTACAAAGATGGCATTATCGTCATGGAACTCTTCAAACTATTTATGATGAGATACACAAAGAAATTAAAATGAAACATTTTAGTAGAATATTTCTGCACCTTCTGATTTTCGGTATACTTAAATTTTACATATAATACGAATATTTCGTATTTTCTACGATGACTTAGGTCAAATTTGAGAAACAGAGGAACGTTACGCCCCTGAAAAGGACCATAGTAGGCTGCGGATGTGGGTAAGGGTACGGGTCTTCTGTTTTCCCACACACTTACACTCACATCCTCAACTGTGTCAGAACATTTACCCATTGACTTCGACTGATTATAATTATTTAATCCTGCCCCTACGTTATGATGAGAAATGCTTCATATTGTTTGTATAATCAACTTCGCTTCTTTCTCAAAGCATTGTATTATGATGATGGTGATATGTTTCTGTGAATCTTCATGCCTTTAAGTAACATTTTAACTAGAAAACAAAAGGTAAATCTTCCCGAGGTGAAGAAGTAGAAAGTGTTGAGACAAAGATGATTTTTTTTTTCACAAAGTGTTTAATAGGATCTTGTCATGGCCGGAATATCAAGAAATATGATCTATGAAGATATTATTGATGTCGGAAAAGATAAGAGCTTTTAGAAATTAGTTTTTAAATTTTAAATGTAAAAATAATACTCTTTCATTAAGACAAAATATCCATTGTATAACATTTATGCAGCAACAAAATTCTTTAAGACAATCAAAGGCCAATCATTTTACTAGTGTTTTTCTTCTTTCTTCTCTTTTTATTAACTTCAACTAAACTTCTATACATCATTGTGACAAACATAAGAAACCTTGGAAAGAAACAAGAATATTTCTTGGAAAAAGAAGAAAGTATCGAAACTAGAGGATATTAAAACACTATCGAAAAAAAAATACTTTAGTTAATTTATGAACAAGAACCCAAGATTCTAAAGCTATTGAAAATAATTAGTTGAGAATGTGGGTGGTGTGTAGGTGGGTGAGGATGTGAGTATTGATATGACCGTTGATGAATGTGGGGGAATAGAAGATCCATACCTACACCAACACTCTACACATACCTCCCACACCCACACGTGCCACACCTTGCACGGCCCACATGTGCCACACACCTCACATGACCCACACCCACAAGTAGAGCTTCTGGAGAAATATCTGAGGAATTAATTTTAGGTCTTTTAAAGATTTATATTGAAATCTGTCTGAGGGTGCGACTATGAGAGTTCTTTTAAAGCATATCGAAATTTGCACCCACACTCACATTGGCATTCACTTAAAGTTCCAAACCGAACGCTCGGTCTCATCCATACACCCACACCCACACCCACATCCAAAACAGACACTTCGACACCCACCCTCAAAATATATATCATTTCATTCCCTGCTCTCTGCTGTCGGATTCGTTTGTTCTTTGATAAGAAATACTGTGGACGTCAAAAGTCTCGCACCACTTTTTTGTTTTCGTTCGCATTTCAAAAATACACGACATATATTCAATTTTCTTTTTACCTTCGGATAGCGGAGCTCAAGTACTATATATATGTATATGTTTGAAATGAACAACCCTTGAATCAAAAACACAGGAAAGAAAACAAACTTCAGTACTACGACAAAAACTACCCAAAAAAAATCGTATTTTTATGCTTTTCTGGTATAAAAAAAAATTCTCGACTTTTCATATAGAACAAATAAAACATGCAATTATTTTGTAATTTTTTTGTCCCAGAAAAGGATTCTAAAAAATTTTAATGTCGACAGTTTTGTAGAGCTCGTCGAGATCTATCGACTCATGTAAACATATCAAACAAAATTTTATTCGATTTTCGAATTACTGGAATCTTACTCAGAGTCATAATAGCCATATCAATTTGTCTTTTTTATGTAGTTTTTGGTCGTAGTA